CACATCAAACGCCACCACGTTATTCATTTACTTACTGAGTCCGGCTCTAAAATCAACTCTGGGATGAAGGTACTTCTAGATGGCAAGTTTCAAAAAAGAACTTAACGCGCGTATAGTATTCCTCTGATAGTCACCATCCAACTCTGCAGTAATCCTCATAACCTGAAGACATCATGAATACAAAATGCATGGGATGCGCGCATGCCTGAAAGAGGCTGATCATTTGCAGTTTTAAGCACCAACTGGAAGATTAAAACAACCAATACAGATGAATCAAACTTCGCTTAGTTTGTATATACATATAAACATATGTCCCCATAATTATACATAGATATATTACTATAGTAAAATCTGAATACTAAAAATAATGGCTGAAAATGCAAAACATGTATGGTTAGTCATTCAAAATCGCTTAATTCAGGTCTGTCCCTTAATAAGTTATTTACTATTAAGTCATGCCAATTCACACTGTAAATATAACTCCTTTCCCCATTCATTGAGATTTGTACTATATTTCATAACATTTACTTATTTTAATTATGCATTCATTTTTCCCATTTGGAATTATATAATTAAGGTGAGAACAAAATTTGCAGAATATCATAAATTCACTAAATCTAAAGGCTTCTCATCAGTTGAGAACAGCCTAAATTTACATTTGTATTACTATTTTAAAAATTTTACTCACCATAATTTAGTTCGAAATAACATGGTAAAGTAGTCGACTTTATTCATGGAAATTAACGAAAGAGATCAATTGTACAACATGTCTCTAGTATTCATCTCCGTACATTTAAACAATCAAAACATTCAGGTACTTTTTAGTTGTTTTTATTAATTTTACTTAATAGGCAGTTATGAAATATTTGAAGAATATATACTTAAGTTCGGTGGAATGTAGTTATCTTACTGGCGTTTAGTCACCTACACGGTACAGTATAATTACTCGGTAAACCTCTTACGTATGCATGAAGGATACTGGGTACTGTCTACCCTATACGTGTATCCTTGAGACATGTTTTGGAACGTCTCAGAGACAGCTTGATCTCGAGAATAACACGATTAGATATCACGACGTATTTTAGTAATCTAGTGATTACTCACCAACATTTGTTACATAAAGTTGACTCAGTCTTACATATTTCGTCTGGTTTCAGGCATGTGTTTGCCTATTTATTTAGGTGTACTGTCGTTATTTTTTAGTAGCCCTATGTCTGACTCTAGTTAAATCTTCTTTTGATTTTCATTAATATATACATCCTGCCAACCATAGTATTCTTTAATCGACTTAACTCACTTTAGTGAATTACGGAATTAAATAAGTCAAATACGAGAATGAAGTTTGAATAAAAAGAAGTGGAGAAAGAGGAGTGAAGAAAAACGAAACGAAGTGACGCGCAGAGGAGGACGCGAGTGGATCAACTGGTTTTAATCAAGAGTGACTCAATATTTGTGTTCAGACAAAAATAAGTTACAGACATATAATAAGTAGAGTGAACAGTTGACACACATACGATCATATGAAAACAGTCAGGATTAATAGGCAAATAACTGACAAGATCAAAATATGGCTTGAGAAGTTAGAATAACCTATGAGGGCTTGACAGAGTACCAGCCAATACAATCCCTTTAAAGCAACGAACCACGAACTTCGTCGTACGAACGACTAAAGATCAAAAAAATATCACAACCGAGACCCAGATGTTTTAGCTTTCGGCAGTGATAGTGATATTATCAACATCTTTTATAACCTTCGTAACTATATCAATAATGCATGGATTTAAGACTCAACTGAGGTGAAATCTACTTACTTGCTACCCCTCGTGAAAGAGCATAGACCGCCCACCAGCACTCTCCATCCAGTTATTTTCAGTTGATAATCATCCTTTTCATATCTGCTTACAATTTTCCACACAGTGTGTTCTTTGGTTTTCCTCTTTCCTGTTTCCTTCCACAATTCCAAGTTAGGGTTTGCTTCGTGATGCAAATCGATGATTTCATCAGTGTATATCGTGTCCACTTCCAATGTCTTTTTCTAATTTCCTATTCAGATTGGAGCTGCTTTGTTCTCTCCCACTGTAGACTGCAGCTCATAGTATACGGTCAACGAACATTGAGTATCTTGAGTAGACAATTGTTTATAAATACTTATACTTGTTTGGTGATGATTGTGGTAGTTCTCCAAGTTTCAGCTCCGTACTGTAGAACTGACTGTCTTGACGCTCGTATAGAACATTGTGACTTGGATGTTGGTTTGCAGACAGTCGTTTTGAATTTGATATACTCTTTAAATGTAGGAATGAGGTCCTTGCTTTTCCAATCCTCCTGATATCCACTACTTTGAGTTTATAACACTAAGCAAAACTACCAGAACACACTTTAAAGTTACATCTGACGTCATACTATAACTATAGAATAATAACTGTTTAGAATTTCGGTGATCGGTTGAGTCAGTTCTAAATCTGATTTGATTTTCTTCACATAAGCGTTTCAATATTAAAAGGGGAATGTCATCAAATTATCTTGATTTCTAGTTGTTAGTACTAGACAATTGTAGAATGAGATATGAACTAATTCCATAATAAAGAGATATTTTTTACACATTAAGTGACTTTCATAGGGTAGGTCAAACAATGTCTAGGGTCCATGCTTGTTGTTTTAAGAATAGAAAATATCTGACATCGTCAATGAATGATTTACTACGAAATGAATGAATATATGTTAGCCTTTTCATTCAACTACGAAATGATAAAACTTTCGTACCCATATGTCAGTTTTATTGAACAAACTACGTATATATATCATTATTATTACTATTATCACATAATAAATAAATAAATAATATACGGTATTGAAATCTAATTTCTGCAGTAAATTCTCGAATCATATTCATTGACTGAATACAATGTGGCTAGTTATAAGTCAATTTCAGAAAAAAAAAAAGATTTCACAATGAAGTTTGCTTTTTCTAGTCAATAAAAATGAGAAAATAATTATATTGTTCTCTATTAATTTTCTAAATGGTTTGAATTTTTGGTCTGGTTAGCATTTTTTAGCGAGTTAGTTTTCTACGGGATGGGGTCGTTAAACCTATACCCAACCCTCCTCTTCATTTATCCAAGATTGGGACCTGTAGTAGCCCCAGGAGGAGTCCCAGGCGGAGTTAATCAACACTTATTTTCGTTTCGTTTGTTTTTTAATATAAACATTCTTTTCTTACACTATCAAAAACGTTAACTTAATTATATGATTCGTTTTGTTTGAGTTTCTCATCGACGTATTCATTATTCAGGTTTTATGCTTATTTATTTCCTTGTTCAATATTCCATTATGTAAAGATATTACGTGACGAAATTAATAGAAGCTTATAATATAACAAAGTGAATTAAATGTAATTTTGGCAAAAAAATCGTTCAGAAATCAAAGACAGTTTTTATTATTATTTATTATTATTATTAATGGCTTTATTCAATATTATAATTTGGTACAATATAGAATTCTCAGCACAAGGTATTTCAGCAAGTTCCTTTTATGACAAAAAGACACAACAACAAAAAAAGGAGGGAAAAAGGTGAAAAAAATCTGAAACTGCACAACTTTCCAAATTAGAGACATGTTTGAGAATACAGGTTATTGAATTGGTTAACTCTAACAGCCTGTTCGTCACAGTGTATATTTGTTAGGTAAGGTATTGTAGGACTTTGATGCTTTTGCTTGCGTGCTTGGATTTTAATGTAATTATGTCTCGTTCTACCAGAAGATATACAAGGAGAAAGATATGAGTGAAGAGGATGGTTAGTATCTGATATGATAACACCTGCCAGAAGTTTGCATGACTTTTAACAATTTGTTTGAAATGTCATGCTTAAGATGACAATTTGATTTTGTTTTTATTTCTTTTACTGAATAAATGTTTTAGCATATAAATGATTGTTTTATTTTGTCAAAGAGTAAATCAATTTCAATAGTTGAGATCGTGAGTTAGTTGAAGCCAGACCATCATGAAAAATGTGGAAGAAATGAACGACCGTTTCATCCTACCATGGGACTCCTCAGCAGTGTCCATCTACGATTCCGCCTCGCAAGATTCGAACCCAGGACCTATTTATCTAAACCAGTGAACCGGCATCCGACGGTGTTATTGTCTAACTTCAACTAATCCACGAAACTTAGTGACACATCAACCATTGTCTTCAGTGAGTTACTATCTGACAACAAACCTGGTTGAATTCCGCTCCTTACTTCTGAAGAATCCCACAACAGAACGAAACAGTCGTCCAGTGCTTTCAGGTTTTGCATGGTTGGTCTAACTTCAATTGACTCATGATCCCAACTATTAAAATTACTATAATATCCACAATAACCCCTTCTGATATAAATAAACAAATTTGTTGAATAAGATGTATTTCTTCGTGTTATGAATTTTAAACTGAAAATAAATATATACTAAAATTTATTTTTATTTTCTTATGTTTCATTCATTACATAAGTTAGATTTATATTACTCATGCCAAACAATTAAACGATGGAGAAATTTACAGATTTTATTTAATGACTGTTTTTAGAGCAATATATCAATTATACTATGATCAGAAATGTATTCATTTATCTGATGATTTTAGGATGCAGATCCCTGGCTGAGTTTACTTTTTATCTTTTTAAAATGTGATTAAATATTGATTGATTAAATATTTTGTTCTACACCTACAGGATGCAAAGATTATTTACAACCTATATGTTTGATATAAACACATTTTCTCTCTCCGTGATAAACGTATCAAATATTTATGTTTTCCAAGCAAATCAATTAAGGAAACAATCTTTTACCTGCAAGTTTCCTTACAATTATGAAAGCATGACGTGACATACTGTGCGTTTATATTTATAATACTTCTTTAAAAGGTGCTTCCTGTAATGAAACTGCCTTCCAGAGAGATAGACAGACAGACAAACCATTAGATATGGTTCTATGTGTATTCTACATTTTTATAATCGTTTGATTCATCAATAACTATTAGACTAGGAATTACGTTGGTCTTTATCTATAAAGTTTGATCTCAGATATTTGTACTTGTTATTTATATTTTATAAAGTAGCTGCATGATGAATAGAATGAAAAAAATCGAAGATAATAGAAAGTAATTTGATCACGTTTAATGAATATAAGTTTTACATAAAAACCATATAAAATATTTAAATATATTTATAAATAGTCACCAGTGAAGATTTTATTTCTATATTTAATCTGATTACGGCTGACTATACTGAAGATGCAATATCACGAGATTCTAGAAGCATCGTAATCTAAACAAAATCATTATCTTGGAGATTTCCAACGACAATCACAGACGTTAGTTTCTTTATACGATTAAGCAAAAGGACTGGAATAAGCGACAGCTGATTTTGAATGGATATTTTAAGCTAATGAATCCAATCAATTGTTTTAATTATGATAACTGACTAAATAATGTACAGACAAATCATCCTTTGGTTTAAATTTTTCCCTGTACACAAGATTGGACAGTGTCTTACTTTAAAAGTGAGTTAGACATGAAAACATCATATCTGGATTTTTAGTAGTACATAAAAAAATGTTTTGGATAACTGAAATTTGTTTCATTTAATTTGTTCATTCTAATAATTAGTTATTATGTAGTTGTGAAGGACAAATTTTAGTTGACAAAAAAATATTTTCGTCTGTAGGAAGTGATGTAAGAAAAATCAATTTATTAGGACACACACACAAACAAACAAAACTTCATTCTACTATGAAGAATCGAACGAATAACTACATATGATAAATCGAAAAAACAAAAAAAAAAATAAAAAACAAAATAGGTCGATGTCTACAGTATGAAAAATCTATAAAAAAAGATCGTGTATAGGACGAAGTGAAAATTAGTCGTTATTTGACATGTTAATGAAGATAACATTTTTCCCCTTTAAAACATATGTTTCAAAATTGGACAGAAATATGTCGTAAAAGCATATCCAAAGTAAATGCATTTTTTTGGTTTTTTTTCGTTTAGTCTTGAAATTTGTTACTGTAATGAAAACTTAATGTGATAAATATTTTGCACCCTAGTTGTTATGGCTATTTTCATTATGTTACATATTTATTTATTTGTAGACATTTAAAAAAATTGAAAAACATTATTTCCGATTACTAAGTAAAATAAAAATGAAAGTTATATTGTCAGTTTTATTGTTATCAGACTGTTATACATTTCAATGATATTGTGGTATTTCTATGAAGTAATGATTGATTTGTACATGATTGTACGTTGATTATCAATTTCAAATATAATACATTGATTGATGTATATCTGGTTCTTACTTACTTACTTTTTTTCTGGTTAGCGTTTTTTTTAGCGAGTTAGTTTTCTACGAGATGGGGTCGCTAACCCCATGCCCAACCCTCCTCCTTTATCCGGGCTTGAGACCGGCAGTAGCCCCCGGAGGGACTCCAGGCGGAGTTATATCTGGTTCTACCTAACATAAATTACCCTATTTTGGGGGAATTATTAGTTAGTACATGATTTCGAATACTTTCAGGTATTTCGATAATGCAATGAGAAGACGAAGTTTATCAGAATTATGTGATATATTAGTGCAATACATTTCGAACAATCTGATCACACATATACTTGTTAAGAGCATTATATATAAAAAATAAAAGGTCAACTAGACAGGTTAAGGGTAAGTCATAACAAAGGAAAAAATATTAAAGTACACAAAAACAATGTGATTATCACTCTGAATAATAAATCAGTATTACCAGAGTAGGTTAAGGGTAAGGACAAATTGTTTCTGAACACATAAACGGGGTTTCAGTTTCCGTATAGCCAAGGCTTCAATAAACCTTAGTATACGTCCTTGAAGGCTTTTGTATAACACTACAAATGTTGATGTGATGTCAACCTTATGGCCAGTCTCAATCAAATGTTTCTCAATGGAAGATGATGTCTGTCCATTCTATGATCTTATTCGACCATTGGAATTTATTTGTTTCTGCAACCATTTTGATATGTGTTCACCCACCTCTATATGGTAACATTGTGTAAACTCTCCTTTATTTCTTACTTTGTTTGCAATTATATACAGAACATACATGAATAATAGTTATAGGTCGTGGTAAATGGGTTCGTATTTGAGTAGAAGGTTAAGTTTTTCCAAGTTAGCTTATTTTGTTAATATTGAATTTTATTGAGGTAATAATGATGTATTTACTATTTATCTTATGTGATTTTTTTTTAAAATTTGTTATCTTTTATAGTGTCTATTCTTTGTTCAATATTGGGTGTGGATGATATGGAGTAGAAATAATTTTAGAAAAAACCAACAAATATTACCTCAATATGAACTGGTAATTACAGATCATAATGTAGCGTGCAATATACTACGTTAAAATGTACTTTGAATAAATGATAAGTACATTTGAATTTAATGTTTCATATGTTATACTCTTCATGAATTAAATTCACATGGTATATTATTGTTGTTTTTTGTATCTTCCCATTATTGTTCAGTACTGTAATTGATCAGTCTCTTGTTGACAGATGTTCATCTTGTGTGGATTGCCTTGATATTGCCTCAAGTCACAAGCTTAGTAAGCATAGTTTTTTTTCAATCAAACCAAGAAATCTATGTCTGATAAGTGAAAGCTAAAGAGAATTACTAAGGTGATCCAGTATTCACACCGAACTTTATATATTCACTTGTGTTATAAAATGCAGAAAAATTATGTGAATTATTAAAGTGAGGATAAACATGATAAAGAGGATAATAATTATTATTATTATAAGTAATAGTAGTCATTACTAGGAGTGTCGTCCATTATATATATTATACATAATAGGAAACCGTTAATCTGCACTCGATATTCCATAGTTAAAAAAACACAGTGATATTTAAACTACATACATGTGTTTTATGTAAAGAGAGATTATGGATAACAATGCAATCCAGGACGCTCGTTTCTTTTTAATTGGAACTTTTCAGTTGAATATACTTGGATGTACCACCCATCTCTACTTCAAATGAAGAGATTATCGAGGTATACCTCCATGAGATGGACGCATTCTATAAAGAGACTGATCAATTACAGTCTTAAACAAGAACTAGAATATTCAGACAATCAATACAAATAAATCACATTCTTGTATGTTATAGTAACGTACTTTGGGATATTTGAATACAGATTAATTAAGAAATTTTCAGGCACACAATTAAAGCATTTCTAATGACACAGTAGTTTTATCATGATAAAATTAATTTGTACTCTGAAAATTAAGGAATATAGCCAAATGAATCGATATTGTTAGAATAGACACATACATTCGCATACAAATAATCATTGCATTCAATCGAGAACAGTTAATTTTAGCTTCCTGTGTTAGATATGACTGAATATCATATAGACTAATTGTAAACAGATAACTTTGATTAAAACTATCATAAACGTGACAAAACACCAGGTATAATAAGGCAGTTGAAATAAATATATTTCGTCTTGCAATGCACAGAGGAGATAAATATCAGAAAATTTTTATTGAATAACTAATACAAACTATACTGCAATATTTTCTTAAGTATTTAGGTAACTGTCTAAAGCACAAGCTAAGTGGATAACGCTATGGCGTTTGAAGAGAACGGTACTGGGTTCGAGTCTCAGAGTGAACAACAACTCTGAGATGCAGGTACATACAGCTGACAAGTCCCAAATAGGATGAAACACGCGTCCTGGATTTCACTGCTAGCCATCATCTATATTTGCTTATAATGATTGTAACTTAAGACAATATCGAAGCAATACGCACAGTATGTACATATTCCAACAATAAACTGATCAATTGCAGTCGTAATCATAGATGGGACGTTTCAAGTGAACAATACCAAATGAATTCAGACTTCACCCCATCGCACAATCAAGTGGCTGTCATGAATCAATAGCTTAGTGGATAATGCAATGGCATTTGAAGCGAACGCTGCTGGGTTCGATTCACAGAGTGAAAATCAACTCTGAGATGCAGGTACATCTTGGTTATGAGTCCCAAATAGGACGAAACGTGCGTTCTGAATTCTACTGCTTACCACTATACATCTATGCTTATAAGCTTTAATGTATGTGTTATAACTTGTGGCCTGTGTGTCCTTTTAATATATAACGTGATGATACCGCCAATTAGAGAACAGTCAATTATCGATCAAACAAATGACGCATAAAACTCGTACGAGTCCTTATCGGTCCTACTTACCACCTAGCCCAGCCTGTTCAGTCCAGAACACCAATCTCAATCTCTGCAATATGAATCATTTATTTCAAACATACTGAGTTTATATACCAACTAGACAGACCACATCATATCATAAGATAGGAACAACATTTATACAAGATTTAGTCAAATGTGGCTATGAATGTGGGAGGTAATAATTGATAGACTGGGTATAACTCAAGAATAGTAAATCGTATAATAATAGTTCATAGGTCAAAAAAAAAGCTTTTGATAAGAAGGACATGAATATGAATAATTTAGTTATATAAGAATTATACAATAAAAGTATACGTATATTAATGGTCCATTAATGGATGCCAAAAGTTACCATTCATTATGATAACAGGGCATAAAAGTATGATTATATTAATTGAAACTTGTTTTAATCAACTTAAATTAATTAAATTAAGTCATCACACAAGAAATCAACATCTGAAACAGATGAAATTTTCAAGTTTTCACATCTTTGTAAAGTGAAAAGTAGCTTAATTACGCTTAAGTTAATCAAAATATGTGAATATTATTACATTACTAGAATTAGTCACGGAATTTAAACTTAGCAGATCATCATTTGTATCATATCATTTAAATATTGTCGTATAGTTTGAGTTCAAAACATATTATTTTACAAACTAAAGTCTTTCTACTGATGGAAGTCATTCTCAAAGGTAAATATCAGTGATGAAGCATCAAAAATAGCATTGCGAAATATTAAGCGAAATGACGATGTAATGGTATTACGGTCATATAAAGGTTCAAGTGTTGTTCTAATGAACACAACAGATTATGTCTCTAAGATGAAGTTCATTTTGAGTGAACACATGAGATTCAAGTTAGAAAAAAGTAACAACGACTTAATTGATTCCACTGAGAAAAGAATCACGAAAGTACTCAGAGATCTCCTGAAGAAGATGATGATCGATAATTCTACTTACAACAACAAACTGCATCAGTCTTTGTTCTTGCTCTCTTTAAAATAAAAAAAGACTGTCATAACTGACTACTATAAATTAGTATCTTGTGGATGAGTTTTAGTAAAGATAAATTTCTCTGGCTTAGTATAAATACATAAATTACATCTTTCTGATGTGTTTTTTCTCATAGCAAGGTCTATCTGCTACGTCCCATTTTTAATATGAAGTTTATTTAAGATGTTTTGATTTTAATTCGGTAAGACTTTTGAACAGTAGTGTTAACTAAGAACAACAAGGTAATTCTATAGAAAAGATCAAGTGTGGCTAGCAATGGAATACTGGACACATAGTTTGTCCAATTTAAACTTGTCAGTCGGATGTACCAGCTAAGGCTAATCAAAATCCAATCAAAATACCAACAGTGGAATAATCTAAATCATTACAAATTGAAATAAGTTAATTAGTATTTTTGTAACTGACAATTTGAGGTTGATAGCTGCGATATTTCTGGTGAGTAGAAATGGACGGTGATGATAGTCCATTCATCATGAATATTTAAAATTTTGCACTGGAAGCAGGATGTATCCATGAATTATAAGAGTTTAGTTCATAGATCTGACTTATATGAATGAATTCCGAATAAGAATACAATACCAATAAAACGATATAGGGGGTTAAACATTTAAAAATTATTAAATTAGCTTTTTTAACCAATTATGGGCCGTTACTAATTATTCTTTAGATAATTCAAATTTGTTTCAACGAACATACTCTATCCAAACTTCTTTGTAATTCAATCTTGAAGTTGGTGACGTATGGGGTTGAGTTTGATGAATCAAGATTTATCTACTATGATAAAGCTTAGAAATGTGAATTTAGCCGTACTTTTAGTGAGTGAAACTACTGATTTTGATATGTATGATAACATTTTGTAGATCGCAGTTTTACAAATTGCTCCAAGGTTCGTTGCTTTGTGTCCTAGTAGACATATATGAGTCATAAATAATTGTTTACAGGCAATTTTTTGATTAAGTATATACGATGTTTTAAATCAAAAAGCAACTTGAATAGTGTGTAATGAACGTCAAACTGTATTGCTATGCTACCAGGGCTTCATTTGTCACACCATATTATAACACATGAGTTCAAAAATCGAGTCACTTAAAATTACATATCAAAGTTACAATCTGTTTTCCACTCAAGAATTACATGTGATCAAATATTAGAACATAAATGTTTAAAAGACGTTCTCAACATTCTATCAATTAGACAGACGTACTTTTGTGTAACGCCGATAAATAATTCATTATGTATTCATTGCGTGAGTGGAGCTTAATCATCGTACGTTAAACATTTGTAGTACTTTTAAAAGAAACATTTAATTCTCGTAAGTCACAATATGGTGTATATAAAATAATATTTAGCTTATATAAAAATACATAGCTCCTTAAATAATGTTAGTACAATTGATTTAACTTTCCTCACACTATCTGTTTTCGAAACTTAAATTATTAATATGGATGACAGGATTTAAACATTGACTCTTAATTTTTTTAAAAATAACTTCAATTGATTTATTCTGATTTATTTATTGTTGCATAAACAATTTCAAACGGTCATTTTAAAGGTTTTTGAAGACTGTCAAATGTTTTTTGAGATCACGAACTGACCTACTTTAGAAAATCACCGAAAACCAGGAGGCAATGTTTTCTTCTAGTATAGGGCTCCTTGCGGGCGCACATCAACGACTCCATTGATGATAACACCCAAAACCTTTATGTTTCATCTTGGGGGCTTAATCTATAGATGACTGAGCCATTATCCAATACTTCAGATGTCCGAATTCAATTAATAGTCAGCGGATATAGATAACTAATCAACTGGTCGATTTCGAAAGAATGCGTTGTCAGGTTCTTTCGTGTGATCATAATTCGTGTTTGTGTATTTAACACACTAATGTACATAAGAAATGCACATTTAATGATCATTTATGAAGAGAAAAACTAACGTAGATGAATAGAGTGATTCCATTTCATAATCCACTCTTTATCCTGCATACAAGTAATGCTATCACAAGTCAAATGTAAGTATATAAGCTAAGAGTATAAGAAATATGTGTAAATTTTTATAATGACGTTAAAGATTCGTTATTATTCTGAAATGTTTTGATTATACAATTGAACCAAACGATGACAACAGTTACTAGGAGCGTGTGAGGAACATATGGAAAGAAAATGTTTGGTTAATTGGAATCAAAACGGCAGGCATTAAGATATTACTGTATCATGATTTTATATTGTTCAGTT